TTGGCACTACTCGTACAGCCCCAGTGGGCTTAGGCCTACCTCCATGAACTTCTCCGTTCACTTCCGTTTTTCTAGATCCTACACATTCGGTAGGACTCCTTGGGCGGGTGATCAGCTCGTCGCAAGCCCGGCTTGTTTACTACTCCATTATATTCCTGTCTGAATTGCATTTTCGGTTTTCTTCCCCCCGAGATCCCTATCTCAACTTAGGGAGGTTTCCGAACACCACGTCAGCAAGCAAGATGTTTCCTGTGGCCCTTCCGCCTGCCTTCTTACGTAATCTACACATGACGAGTGGGTACACGCGTGAGGAAGGACGGCTCAACAACAAGATGATCTCATAAGCTCTGTTATATTTTTTCAAAATAGGATGGGAGGTTAACGAGACTGATTAAAGTGTTAGGGAACAGCGACAAATTGTTTGCACCAATTTTAGAATGACAACGAAAAGAAACGCTGAAGATCTGGTCATTGATGAAGGCAACCATCGTCAATATCGAAACACGAAAGTCTGAACGAAATTCTTTTGTGTTAAGTTGATAACAGGAAGCTTCACATATAACCAACGACCGAGGGGGGGGGGTAAAAGTCTGCATCCAACTTTCTGACAAAACTGAAACCGAACGTTCTCTTTTTAGTCCATGAGATCCCAATGACGAAAAATGGAAACTTCGGTAGGGATCTGAGACAAGGAGGGGGAGGGAAATACAGTAACAACGCAGTTACGCCTGGTAACTTCTTCAACATCGGCCGTGTTGTTGTTGATTACTCCACGGCACACATCATCAGTTACCTCCTTGCACGCCTCAGTGATTACTGCTCTCGATGCCATCATTGTCTGCGTCTATTTTGGAAAATCCTTCTGTTAAGTAAACCCCAAATAAGGTAGCCATATGGGTTTAAATAAGAACTACTTCTGTACACTTGGGAAACGATCAGCATCTCGGTTTAAGATAATACACGAGTCTAAAATGTCATGCAGAAAATCCAAAACGACATTCGCTGGGTGGGGCATGGCTCCAGCATGCAACAACGACTCACCCTGTTTATAACGCCAAACATCTAAGAAGAAGGTGAGGCACAAAAGTCTGGCGCAACATGCATAATTAGTGCTCACTGTTCACTGGCCCTTCAAAGATACCTGGCTCTAGCAGTCCGCGACTTGAGATGGCGCCCCATACTGTCATTCTCATCATTCAAATGTGGATTCTCTCATAACCCAAAATTGCACATTTTGTTTAATAAACACAAAATCCAAGTGGCAGTGTGCATCATCAGAAAACCAAACATTGTTGAACAATACCTCATTATTCTGAGCCTACTCAGTAAATTAAATTCTCCAATGTTTGTTTAAATTTAAGTTTAGGTAACGCTGTCATTTTCTATGGATCTTCACAGTAAGAACCTACTTCAAAATACCAAACTATGTAACATATAATACCAATCATCCTGACGGCTCCGCCCACGGCGGTACTGCGATTCTCATCAAAAGTACGATCCAACACTATGAGATACCGAAATACCAGAAAAATTTCCTACAGTCCACCGCAATAAGAGTAACTACATTATCATATGAGCTGACAATTGCAGCAGTTTATTGTCCACCACGATACAATATTAAAATGAATCAATTCCAAGAATTTTTCCAAACATTAGGCAATAAATTCATAGCCGGAGGAGATTATAATAGCAAACATACCAGGTGGGGTTCACGCCTGGCAACAACCAAAGGGAGAGAACTTCTAAAAACTTTAGAACACAGTAGACATTCATACTTATCAACAGGCACCCCAACGTATTGGCCAACTGACCCACAAAAAATTCCTGACCTACTAGACTTTTACATTACAAATGGAATCAATTCAACATACACTGACATCGTACCCAATTACGACTTATCATCTGACCACTCTCCAATTATAGCAACGATTGGAACATCAGTAATATACAAGAAACCTCCACCTAAACTACTCAACTCTCGAACAAATTGGGATACTTACAACAGCATCGACCTAAAAATTCGACTGAAGACGACAGAAGAAATCGAGTACACTACTGAAACATTCATAAACAAACAACAACAAGCTGCACAACAGTCAACGCCAGAACTTCATATACGGAAAATAAACCAAGACATACCGCTTGAAATTAAAAAACTAATAGCGGAAAAAAGGACAGCCAGATCAAGATGGCAACGAACCCACACACCAGCTGATAAATGGGCTTACAACCACACAAGTCATAAATTAAAAAACAAGCTCAAAAAAGTCAGGAGCGAAGAATTTGAGCAATACACAACGAAACTGAGTAGAACAGATAATTCGATATGGAAACCAATCAAGAACTCAAAAAAACCTAAAACTCCAACGCCACCAATAAGAAAAAACACCAATGAACCATGGGCAAAAAATGACGCTGAGAAAGCTAAACTTTTTGCAGAACACTTGGCTTCCGTATTCCAACCAACAGATACAGTAATCGACCAAGAAATAGAAAAAAAAGTCTATTAAACCCACCTATAACACATACAACCATCAAAGCATTCACGCAAAAAGAAATAGCTGATGAAATTAAGCTCCACCGTGCAACAAGTTCACAGAATTATACAAACCATAAACAAAACGTTCGAACACAAACAATAGTGCAGCGGAGTATTCCTCGACATCAGTCAGGCTTTCGATAAGGTCTGGCACCCTGGACTTATCTACAAAATCAAACATGTATTTCCACCGGCTTCCTTCAATCTTCTAAAATCATACTTGAGTAGGAGACCCTTTCAAACCAAAGTAAATGAAGAGGAATCTGACTACTTTCCAATCGGTGCAGGAGTACCACAAGGCAGCGTCCTTGGACCACTGCTGTATGTCCTGTACACGTCAGATCTACCGATGGCACAAAATGTCCTAATAGGGACATTCGCAGACGATATGGCCATCCTTACTAGCCACGCAGATCCTCAAACAGCCTCAACTACTACACAAAACTACTTAAATACTCTCCAACAGTGGTTAACAAAATGGAAAGTGAAAGTGAACGAGAATAAATCCGCACATATATCATTCACCCTCCGAAAAGAAATATGCCCAGCAGTCACAATAAACAACATACAGATACCACAAAAGCAAACAGTAAAATATCTAGGCCTACACTTGGATGCTAAACTGACATGGAAACAACATCTCGCAAAAAAGAAAAAACAAATAAACATCAAGACAATGGAGCTACAGTGGTTACTGGGAAGAAATTCACGACTATCTACAGACAACAAACTTCTAATATATAAAACAATTATCAAACCAATCTGGACATATGGACTAGAATTATGGGGCTGATCAACTAAATCAAATGTTGCAATCATACAAAGATCTCAATCCAAGATACTCCGTCAAATTGTTAATGCTCCCTGGTACGTAACAAATCATACACTACATACAGATCTACAGGTACCAACCGTGCAGGAAGCAATACGCAAGAAAGCCATCACACATCATAACTCCATAGAAAACCACCCCAATCAGCTCATGGAACAACTCCTGGAACCAGTAAGCAACAAAAGACTCAAAAAACTGTGGCCAAGTGAACTACTCTTAAGTTAATGTATAGATACTAATTATAGATTATACAGGTGATTTCGCTGGATATCAACCTGTTCACGCCACTAGTCATTAGTATATCTAATGAGTAATCAGCACTTTAGCTTATAGAATTGTGTAATATTCTGATTGCTAAAATCTAAAATAAAAAAAAAATCTATGGATACAAATTCATATCACTTTTCAATTTCCCTAGCTGTGCTGCAGCCTTCCTTGTTCAATTACTGGGGTTACAGCGTCAATGTCCTCGGAAGAACGCACAGATATATGCCGTCGACGTTTCCCCTCCAAACGTGAACCATTATAATACAACTGGTTGAAAAATTCTTTTGAATCAAGGAGCCCATCGCGTTTGAGAATAGGCACAAACCCGACCCTCTGTGACCACAACCCAAAATATTTCAGTAAGAAATAAACGCTGATTTTATGCGTTTTTCTACATACAGTTTACTTTGCAGGCAATCTTGTGTAAACTGGAGCATGATTACGAATAACGCGATACTAGCGCGCTCGGGAACAGGAAGGACTGATTTCCATGTTACAAAACACCGTTCATTGCTAGGTTGAAAATTTCATATTACATCAAATGCTGGATAATTTCGAGCGCCTTTTGTACATAGGTCAGATCTGTAGATCTTTATGCGGTAAGATAATAAATATTTATGTATCACCCTAAAATTAGAAGAAAATGCACATTTGTAATTCAAAGGCCAATTCTAAAACGCTACAAAATTATACAATAGGCGCTGCTAGGTAACGGTTCCGCCAAAGACACGAACACAACAATTACAGGGATATTACGAACAGGAGTAATTGGAAGCTGCAGTTAGTAAAGAGTGCATTGGTAAGATAGCAGGTTCTACATATAACTGCAGTTCCTCGTTGTGGGCTATCGCTGTGAGAAGTTTGTAGTTGAGGCCGCAGATACTTTGGCAAACCAGAGGAAGGATATCTTCGCCGTTGCAAGCCGCTGCCAAGCAACCGATAGTGGATACTCTAACAGACTGAGAGCACGCGAATGTCAATCCAGTAAACATGTTTGGTATAAAACAGAATTCCTGCCCTCCCCAAATATAATTGCGTAAGTACACAACGTTACATCTCCAGCACATGCAATATTATTGACTTATTAAGGGCAAATATATCCCCTGTCCATCTCCTACACGTATGTATCTTATGCATGTAAATGGGCACAAAAACAAATTGTCTGCTCAGGTGCTAAGGTGCTGATGCAATTATTATTTCAGGGTGCCAACACAAACAGGCATAACGAAAGGATTTCTTTGCACATCTGTATCAAATCTGGTGATTCAGTGGCCCCACCCCCTCAGTGCGTCACGGCCCAAATGGATCGCTTGACCTGCGGGACACCTGCTCAAACAGACGGGTGCCTATATAAGGCTGGGTCCTCTTCGTTTGTCAGCGGACTTCGCAATGGCTCGTTACGAGGTAAGTGGCAGAACGCATTCAAACCGAAACTGGTATGGTGAAAGCTGGGCATTGCAGCCCATCGGAATGGCAAAAATATTTTATAGAATTTTGCTTCTTGTTTCTCGCTGCTTATTTGCCTGCCTTACGTTTCCACCCTGAACATGCTGGCAGTATGTTTCATCCAGAATTTGGGCAACTTTATAAGACTACACGGCGTAACATCACCGCATTCAACTATGGATAACAGAAAACTGATTCCTGCAGAACTATTGTTGATATGTAGAGCGTTCATTACTAGTTATCTGAACATTTATGCAATCCAATATATGAAACTGATTTAGGAATTAAGACTTCAACGGCCGTATTCGTGACAGGGCCCACAATTCTAATTAGACGTGACAACGTCCTTTCATAAATTTCGATCTGTTTCGAGTGGCCGGGGGGGAGACGAGTCAGAGTAATTTGTGTCCTGGGGGCAAATTTCCACTTTGCTTCGGCCCGGAATGTCCTAATAGAGCCTCTCTTATCCTGCGTCCCCTCCGCTTCACGCTGTAGAAATTATTGTCACAAACGACGCTCTGCAAGCCGAATCGTGATCGTGCAGCTTCTGTGTAACAGTTCACAGGCACATTCGAACATGGAGCGCTGTATGAGGGAGCGGCATTGTGGTCGGATTTTCAGCGCATTTTGCAGCGAGTTCAAGGCTGCGGTGTGCAATCCACGGTGAACCTTCCCTCTCACCAACGCATGGAACTTCTGTCATGCAGTAATCAGTTCTGTACTGTCAGCACCAAACTGTATACATTTCGCTAACTTTTCAGAGACATTTTATTTTTCATTCACGAATTGTTCAGTCCTTATAAAATCTTCGCGCTGAGAGATACTGACCAATCACAGGGTCAATTAATGACACAGAATGTGACGTCACTTTTCTCTTGTTTGCAGACACTCATTTTGATCGCAACTATCGGCGTCGTGGCGCTCGCTCTACCCGCACAGAGGGAAAATGGGGTAAAGCCAGCACATGGGCAACCTGCTTGGCCACCATATGGACCACCAGCTTCTCCACCATATAAACCACCTGCTTTGCCACCATATGGACCACCAGCTTCTCCACCATATAAACCACCTGCTTTGCCACCATATGGACCACCAGCTTCTCCACCATATCAACCACCTGCTTTGCCACCATATGGACCCCCAGCTTCTCCACCATATAAACCACCTTCTTTGCCACCATATGGACCACCTGCATTGCCACCACATGGACCCCCAGCTTCTCCACCATATAAACCACCTTCTTTGCCGCCATATGGACCACCTGCTTTGCCACCATACGGACCACCAGCTTCTCCACCATATAAACCACCTGCGTTGCCACCATATGGACCACCTGCATTGCCACCACATGGACCACCTGCATTGCCGCCATATGGACCACCTGCTTTGCCACCATATGGACCACCAGTGTTGCCACCATACGGACCACCAGCTTCTCCACCATATCAACCACCTGCTTTGCCACCATATGGACCCCCAGCTTCTCCACCATATAGACCACCTTCTTTGCCACCATATGGACCACCTGCATTGCCACCACATGGACCACCAGCATTGCCGCCATATGGACCACCTGCTTTGCCACCATATGGACCACCAGTGTTGCCACCATATGGACCACCAGCTTCTCCACCATATGGACCACCATTTTTCCCACCACCATTTGGACCTCCTATTTTCCCACCATTTGTGCCACCGTTTATACCTCCCTTTTGGCCACCATTCCCTCCAATACCTCCACGTCCGCCCACTGAGAAACCCTCAGAGAAACCCAGCGAGGAACCCACCGAGGAACCCTGTGAGGAAACCAGTGAGGAACCCTCCGAGAAACCCAGCGAGGAACCCACCGAGGAACCCTGCGAACCCAGCGAGGAACCCAGCGAAAAGCCCAGCGAGAGACCTAGCGAGAAACCAACTGAAAAACCCAGCGAGGAACCCACCGAGGAATCCTGCGAACCCAGCGAGGAACCCAGCGAAAAGCCCAGCGAGAGACCTAGCGAGAAACCAACTGAAAAACCCAGCGAGGAACCCACCGAGGAATCCTGCGAACCCAGCGAGGAACCCAGCGAAAAGCCCAGCGAGAGACCTAGCGAGAAACCAACTGAAAAACCCAGCGAGGAACCCACCGAGGAATCCTGCGAACCCAGCGAGGAACCCAGCGAAAAGCCCAGCGAGAGACCTAGCGAGAAACCAACTGAAAAACCCAGCGAGGAACCCACCGAGGAATCCTGCGAACCCAGCGAGGAACCCAGCGAAAAGCCTAGCGAGAGACCTAGCGAGAAACCAACTGAAAAACCCAGCGAGGAACCCACCGAGGAATCCTGCGAACCCAGCGAGGAACCCAGCGAAAAGCCCAGCGAGAGACCTAGCGAGAAACCAACTGAAAAACCCAGCGAGGAACCCACCGAGGAATCCTGCGAAACCAGCGAGGAACCCAGCGAAAAGCCCAGCGAGAATCCCGGCGAGCATCCAGGGGAGAATCCCGGCGAGCATCCCGGGGAGAATCCCGGCGACGGCGAGAAACCTTATGAATAACCCACGACTAATTAACAGACCACTGACGTCCCTCCGGAAGTCCAACAGACTGGAGACCATATGCTGCAACACTTGGAGTCTGTTGTTTTTGTCCGGCGCTGTACGTATACTTTAAAATTGTATGTTACATTTTAAGAATGGAAATATACGTTGCATACTAGATATCGTGCTCTCATTTCTGCCACCTCGCCCCACCCTTTCAAACACAATATATTCGTTTGTCCTTGGTAAATGTGTCCGACTCTACATTATGTATACATTCGTAAGCAGACTTTTGCATTCTTTAACAGAATTTTAACGACTTCCTTTCCTCTAACTCGTCATGCAGGGAACATTCGTAATGCCGTTACAAACTTACATACAAAACTACCATTTTCAAGGCAATCTTTCATCTACTCGACCCCTCCCTTTCAGCTCTTCGGTTATTCTATATATACAGTTTGCTTCTTCTTACATTTTACACTCCATTCTAAACCCGCAAGTCAGTATAGCTTGGGTTCCGTCCCAGGTTCCATTCAAATTCCTAAGAAAAAGAAGTGTGAAGCATTGCCGCCATGTCATGGCCTTCCCTTCCTGCGCAACAGGACACACGATGTAGCGTGTATACGCACACAAGTACAGATGAACCAAAGAGTCGCTGGGCGAGTCGTCTTTACCCCGTGTTTACGTGTAGGTGTGTGTGCGTATACATAGCATCCCTTACAGACAGTGAATAAGGTCCAAGCCACTCAGAACCGCACTTTGTGCCTCTGTGTCACAATATATCGAATATTGTTGATAGGGGCACGCGATGGAGTAGTTGGTTGAGGAACTGTACTACAGGCCACAAGGTCGTGCGTTCTATTCCCGACCACGATAACAGATTTTCAACTGACCTAATCCTTCTAACCGCATTATGGACATGCGGGTGACAAAATCACTCTCAGAAATGAGTTCCAGGAAGAATCCTGATGGGTAAAGGGCGGCCGGCATGTAAGGCTGACACTCTCACCCCCATCTTTAAGACCACTGTCTAGTATATACAGGAGTCTCGACGTCTCACAATCCTATGGGCCTCCATGACCTGTAACAGGGATAAACAAATCACCACCGTGACAGTCAAGTCCCTGAGTCTGTATTGGTCCGCCGTATGCTTCAAAATATTCATCCTCGTGTACATTCTCAGTTGGTGTTTGTTTCTGAACCCAAGTCTATGAAAGAATTATATTTGCTTCCGAGTCAAGTAGTCGAAGGACGGGCTATTGACGATCGGAGGGAATTTTCCTAATGCCACTTTGGCGTGTTTCGCGTCCCGTTAGTGTAGCAGTTGGGGAGACCTCTCCGGCTGTTAGCCAGCCGTGCTATAAGGTGCTGGAAGTGTCCCGGAATGGGTCAGGTTAGGAAGGATTGTCTAGAAAACAGGGAAACGAAAGAGGCGCTCGGCAGTGAAAGATGGTGCAGAGGTCCGAGCGCCTCAGAGTGAACAGCCTCGGTGTCGAGTCTCTCCTGTAATGGCAGCTGGTTTTAATCCTTCGGTTATGTTAACCATTAAGAACAATTGTTTGCCGGCCATCTTGGATTCGGTTTCCTCATTCTCTTTTGTTAGACGAGATATATTTCAATAGATCCAGACCCTAGGTTTGCCTTGTCTGGTACAAACGACGAACCGTACTGTTTACATGGCTAGTGGCCAGAGCTGTGTGATTAAAGAGGCCGTCTCGCTACAAATCAAACTTCATTTCTTTTCCTCGAAGTATACATTTCTAGTGTTTGCAATTCTTCCGTGCCGTGTATTTTGGCAACTTATTTTTTGTCATTTGCGAAATTGCGACTCGATTTTGCGATTTCCTCTTACACTTTCTCCTTTGAGCAATCTTGTCGTTATGATTTTGAGCCATTAGACTTTTCCATACAGCATTCTCATTTAATTTTTCCTTGTTCGGAAGAAGCCTTGAACAAGCTAGCGGCCTATACTTCGCCCTTGAGCTTTTCTGACTCACGTAAGCTTGAACATCTGCTATTAACGTTTCCGAAGCTGTTTTCTGACCAATTGGGTACGGTGAAAGGGATGGTATGTCAGCGTGATCTGACCGATGGCCCCGTTTGCGAACCCTGTGCGATATTGGTCAGGATTTGCTGAGAAAGGGAGTGGTAAGGAAGAGGCATTTCACATCGGGCGCTAGCTGAATGCGGTCGAGTGCAGAGGAAATCAACACTACAAGTATCCATGTCCGTATAGCGTACCCTTGAGCATCGAATGAACAATTAAAGTGATAGGAGGTGCGGATCCGCTATCTTATCAAGTGCAGTATTCATAAACATTCTTCTATTTGCAATAAACAACAAAATACTGATACAGCAGTGTTATATAGACTAATAATAGTGCTGAATGGACGGTAACTCAATGAATGTGCTATGGAACGGAAACTGCCCAGGTCAAGTCAGTCCGTATGACCTGAGTCATCCTCAACTAAACATACAAAACTACCAAACGGGATACCAACATAATTTACAAATGCACCTCCATCAACTACAGCAATCGACGACAGATATGCAAATGCAGCACACGTCATATAATCAACAATTTCCAGTGTTAGTAAATAATCCACTGCCTGCAAATCAACCAGCAGCGTATAACTATATTAAACAGAACGCAATTTGCAACAATTCTCAAACATTCGTAGGACGAAACTATGTCAGTTCCTACACATCCACTGGATATGTACTATTAAGGGAAGACGAAGAACTGGAAGCGAAACCAGCAAAACATAACAAAGATAATCCGTGGCAAGTCATTAAAAAACGCAAACGTGCTAATAATAAAACTCCGCATGCAAAATACTTCCGGCTGCACTCTAGTAACCAATATCATGAACTTCATGATGAAGAGAATACATTCCTGAAACAAGTCAGCAGCAATCCAAAGAACCCAAACAGTCACCAATTTATATCCACGGAGTAGCAAATTAGAGGGTGTGTCAAAAAGAGCTTTACAAATTTGAAAGCTTATATAAATTTATACAGAGGACATACACAGCGTTTTGAACTGTCATAATGTAGCAAAACACCACGTTTCATGCACATTGTACTGCAGTACCCAATGCCGCCACTGCGAGCGCTCCCGCAGTTGAAATCAAGATGGCTACTTTCACAGGTGCAGAGCGTGCTCGTTATGTGTTTTGCAGGGGTGCAGGGTCCATGGATGCGGTGGAAGCATTGCTTCCCTATAGAAAAGCAACCAAAAACATTTCTGGCAATTTTTCAATTTCGAAAAAATATTTTATACTTCAAAATATTAATTAATCTGAGAACATATATTACATATAATGAGAATATTGCAAGTTTTAATGTGTTACATAAACCATTTATCAGGATAGATCAGTTATTTCCTTCCAAAATGCAGGGAACTTTAAAATAAAACACGCAAGGAAGCAACAGGTTGTTCCCTTCCACGCTCATTCTGGTTCAACTGGGACTGCAATGGTGCCATATATGAGGAGTCTTTTGCTTAGCTAAACGTTACGGAATCCTTCCAGCTTCGTGCTTCCAGCAATATTGCCGGCTGTAAGGCATTGCAGTATGCAGTTGGAAGTCGGT